CGGTTTGCCGGACAAGGGAGAGTCGGATTCGTTGTACATCGTGAAAAAGTATGGAGTAGAACCGGTTTTAATCGAAGAAATGGTTCGAAATCCCAATTTAAGTAGTGATCGACAAGCGTATAAGCGATTGAAGCAAATCATTCGTGAGTATCAACCCGATATTGTACATACGCACGCTTCGAAAGCAGGAGCCTTAGGGCGAAAGGCAGCACATTCTTGTGGTGTGCCAGTGATCGTGCATACGTTTCATGGACACGTGTTTCATTCCTACTTCGGGAAGTTGAAAACAACGCTGTTTAAAAAGATTGAGCGTAATCTAGCGAAGAAATCGACTGGAATTATCGCTATTTCTGATATTCAGAAAAAAGAGCTTTCTCAGGATCATAAAATTTGTCCGGCGAATAAGATTAAGGTGATTCCTCTTGGTTTTGATTTAGAACCTTTCCATGAAAAGTCATTAACGCAGCGATCTGGGACGCGTAAAGAATATGGACTTGAGGATGATGTCGTAGCAATTGCGATTGTTGGACGATTGGCTCCGATTAAAAATCATGGATTTTTTCTGGACGTGATTGAGGAAGTGTTTGCTCAAACAAATCAGAAATTGAAGGTATTCATCGTTGGTGATGGACCTGAAAAAGCAATGATCTCAGAGCGGGTTGCTGAAATCAACTCGAAATCAAGTCACGAGATTGTAATGACTTCGTGGATTAAGGATATTGGAACATTCAACGCTGGAATGGATGTTATTTGTCTTACTTCGGACAATGAAGGAACACCAGTGAGTTTGATTGAGGCACAAGCGGGAGGAATTCCGATTATTTCAACAGATGTTGGCGGAGTCAAAAATGTTGTAGTAGAAGGTGAAACGGGCTTCGTAGTGCCGGTGGGAGATAAGAAAGTGTACGTTGAAAGGTTACTTGAATTGTGCGCTGATGAAAAAAAACGAGCAAAAATGTCACAAAATGGCTGGAGCTTCGTACAAGAAAAATTCCATTACCGAACGTTGGTCAAAAACATGGATCAATACTATCGGGAATTGTTGAAAAGTAAAAACAAATGAAAAGACTGTTTGCGGCATTCGTTCTAGGCTTGACTGTCATGATTTTTCATGGAAGTTGTGGAGTGAATAGTAACGTAATGTTTAAAGAAGCCAAAAATGCGGAGCCTACTTCGGATTCGATTCCGTTGAGGCCATTGGAGGCATACAGAATTTCTCCTGATGATAAAATTGCGTTTTCATTGACAACGAAGAATGGAGCGAGAATTGTTGAAGAGTTGACGGGGATCGTTAGCGAAGCGAGAAGAAGTCCATTGGAAGTTGAGTATCTCGTT